TCCCAAACAATCAAAACACACAAGTCTTCTCAACGAATGTTTCAAACAACATTTCACGCCGCATTTGCAACAATTATGTGATATGCAATTTCTACTTTTTCGGTATTTTAAACACATGATGCAGTTTCCTGTTTTTCTTTTCTTCATCAATTCGTTTAAAACAACTACTCTATGAGTTGAAATACTCAAAAAACTGCAGATCTCGAGTTTCTATTAACTTTTCTCTTTTGTATATTTTCACTCACCAATTTCATTGCAAGACTTTCCAACTCTTTAATCCTTTTTACCCTACGATTTCCGTTAAATATTTTCTGAGCTTTTATAACAGTGTAAATGTTATTAAACGCAAAACCAAGTAAATACCAAAACATTGCAAGTGGCCAGCGTCTTGTTGTTCTTTTCATCTCAATCCGTTTGGCCATTTCGTCTACAACATCAACACCTCCCACGTATTTGTTATATCTGTGGTTTACATTGGTTCTAATCAAATCAAGGTAAGTTTGTTGTATATTCGAATTAGAGTTAATTGGTGCCTTCTTTTCAATTTGGACAAGATGAACTTCTGTATCTGGTGTTGACAGAATTAACACATTTTTGTTGTGTTCGATAAGGCTACTTAAAGTAAAGCCCTCTTCGGTTTGGCCAATTATTAGAGACCCATTTTCTCTTTTTTCTTTTGTTTTAAGAATTTTGGGAACTTCTTTTCTATTTGCTTTAATTGTACCTACAATACCAATTGCTCCATTTGTTTCCAATTGAAGTATTTTACCAAGTTCAATGGAAGTAAAAAAACGATCGGTGTAAACAGTGAATGTTTTTTCTCGAAAAGGCTTTACCAATTCTATTACTGCTTTTGTTCCCAAACATTCAACTGTTTTTCCATTGTTGCTTCCTCTATAAAGAAATATATTCAAAATAGTGTTATTCGTTGGATCAACAAGTAGATAAAATTTGAAACCGGATTTGGCGGGTTTGTTTGGCATTTTCATTTTGTTTTGATATTTTCCAAAAAAACGAGACAGGTTTTCATCTACAGATAATTCTGATGATATGACAATTGACCTCCCGAAAGATACAAAACGATCTCTAAAAATTTCTACGATTTTCTTTATTTTATAATAATTATCCCAATCATCACCATTGTAAATCAAATCTTGTTCAAAAAATAATGAACATTGAGATACACTTTGGTGTTCAGAGTTCGAAGTTGTATCATTTTTAGCGTCTTCTGATGATTCAGAGTTATCACTACTCAGAGTTTCCGTGTCTGTTTGGCTTGAAGTAGATGTTTCACTTGATTCGGAAATTTCATCAGATGACGTTTCTTCTGAACTTGCAGGTTCCATTCTTCTTTGTTGTTCATATAATTGTTCTCGTATAACACTTTCGTTGTTAATAAACACATTCCAATTTTCTTTTGATATCTCTTTAGGTTTTAAAGGGCGGTTAATAATGTCATCAAAACGAAGACATCTCAAAAGCTCTTTATACCTTTTAAGAGAAAAGGTTGCTCGATATATTTCTCTGCTGTTGATTCCATACCAGACTTCTCATTGACTAATTTTTGTTTCTCGATAAATACCTTGTATCAAGCTTATTCCAACAAAGGCTTTAATATCTGACAATTCAACGTTGTTCCAAGATTGTTTTTTCTTTTTATCATCGAGATTGTTAATAAATACACAGTAATGACCGTATGTATTTGTGTAGAGTTGTATATCAGTTAACAAATGTGTTGGAATAAAGTAGTCAACAACTTCTTCAATATTCATATTTAAGAGAAAATCTGTGATGTGACTATTCCGTTTAGGTTCACAGTTACATTCATTGTGTACATTTTTAAATTCTAATAGATTAAACACGTTCTTATTTTCGGTGTCATTCAATTGTTTTTGAGATACTATTTCATCATGTTTGAGTTTAAGACTTTTCTTGGTGTCTTTCTTGACACGTTTATCCCCTCTTCCAATATCGGTGTTTTCAGTATCACTTTTTGGTGTGCACGGAATTTCGTGCAGAGATTGCACCATTTTAAAAGGATTGGAGTGAATTATGTATTTGTCTTTACTGTTGATTATTTGGGGAAAATGATATTTCATTTGTATTGTTAAATGTGGACTGTGTGTTTCAACCAAAATAGCCAACCTTTTTATTAATTCTAAATTGTGTGGATAAACTTTCATTGCTTCCCTACAATTATCAAATTGCACAATTAATGCAATATAATGACATACAAAAAGACCACATGAAACACTGTCATTTTGTCTTGAAATTCCTCTTGCTAAACAAATATCAAATCCCAATCCAAACAATTCAAGAATATCAACCCCAACTGACAAATAAAATGCATCATGATAATCATTTAAAGAATTAAACAAAATTGCACGACGATTATGATAATCAATGACAAATAAGACAAAATGATCATACCCAAAAATTGGTACAAATGTTAAATAATTATTGATCAATACATTGAAAATGTGTTTTTTTAACACAGAATTGTCAATACCAAATAGCAACTGTCTCGTCTCAATAATACCGATATACCCAAAAACGGAACCACTTAAAAACCTTGCATATGCATCGATTGTGTTGATGTTCATTATATTTATTTCTATTAATTTGAGTTTGTTTTTCTATTTAATTTTATATTATAATTTCATGTTTTTTATAATCACTTTTGTTGATTTGGTATTAATTCCTGATTTTTTCAATGTATTTTTCAATCACTCTAACAAAATAGTTTTTTTTGGTTTTTGTACAAAATGTTTTGTAATCATTGATTTCAATGTTATTCTTTGTTATTAAAGTTTTTTAAAGACGTGAAACGTTTTCACGTTTTCTGAAAAATGTTATACATAAATTTTAATTTGTTATTTTAACACCATCCATGGGTTATTTAATTCAAATAACCGTGTAGCGGAATATTTCACACGTTTTAAACTTTTCAAACATTGTTTTTAAAAAATAAATTTTTACACAATATAATGATAATTTAATCACTTTAAAATTTGTTTAAATCGTTAACTAAAGTTTTAACAATTATTTAAAAACATTTTTACACAAAAAACTTTTTGAATTTTTTGTTGAAAATATGCTAAAACTTAAAATGAACTGACACGTATTAGAGATTGCCACGAAGTTGTTTAAAAATTGGATCTTGGCAGACCCTGAAGTCAAAACGAAGAATAGGTTGGTTTTGAAATGTGAATATGACGAAATAAACTATGTCAACCAGGTTATTTAAAATGAATATGTTATAATATTTGATAGAGCAGACGCGTCAAATTATCATTTGGGTCAACTTGAAAACGACAACAAGTGAATTGGAAAAAAGTCAATGCTTAGGATTTGTTTAACATTAGTTTTAATTAATGACAATTTTATTAATAGTTAATGGTTTTTAATTAGCGATATTGAGTATAGTAAATAATGGTTTAATATTTTTAATCTAGTTCTCTTCTTTGTTATATTTTTAGAATATCGTTAAATAAAAAACAGACTTTATTATATATTTATTAATTTATACCATTAAAATAACTAGAGTTGCTAAAACAAACATGGAAGGCAAGCTTTTTACACACGACTAATCTGGAAAACCGTAAATTTAATATAATTTTCATAAACATGTAGTTTATAGTTAAACATCAAATGTGATGTTTTTCAAATGTAATTATTATTAAAAACATTTGAAAAAATGAGAAGTCACACCCTTAATATAAAAATACTTTAATTATATTCTATATAACTACTATAATTAATTTAAAAAACTGAAATCGGAATTTAGTTCAAGTTCACATTAATAATTGCTATAAAAAGCCAACTAATAAACTCTTTAATAAAACATTTAGAATGTCGACTGAATCGACCCAAATCAATACACAATTGGACTAGACGTTATTACCACCCCCACCACTCCCAATTCCCCAAAAACCAAATTCAGTTAATTCACCTGAAAACTCCGAACGTGAGAAACAAGCCTTAGCAACAATAATGGAAGAATGGTGTACAAATGAAGAAATAAAAAATGAGTTGCCGTTTTCCTATTCAGAAGTCTTAGGACAACTCCGACAGACAGAAAAACACCTCCAATTTACTCCCCACGTTCTTTACTGTTTAAAACCCAGTGTTATAACAAACGATTTGTACACCAAAAACACTGATGGGAAAGAACTCTTCTTTCCAATCTATGAGTGGACGGATTCCAATTACATTGGCGTCGAACGGGACGACAATTTGTCCACTTAAAATTTG